TCAGGGGCAGGTGGGGTACGGAAACGGGACGACGACGAGTACGAGTGGAGGCGGCGGGGGAGGAGGTGGAGGAGGGAGAGCTGGGAAGAGGAGAGCTGTGCAGGAAGCTCCGCTTGATAAGGCTACGCAGCAGAAGCAGAGGAGGATGATCAAGAACAGAGAGTCCGCTGCCAGGTCCAGGGAACGCAAGCAGGTTTGATTCTCTTTTGGCTATTGAAAATTCTTAAATTCAATTTGGTTTTGTATGTTGGGAATTTATTGGAAATGAAATGCCAAATTTCATGCTGAAAAACTTAATTTGTTCGAAATTTTAGGCTTACACGGTTGAGCTAGAATCTCTGGTAACGCAGCTAGAGGAGGAAAATGCGCGGCTAGTGAGAGAAGAGGTATAATTCTTCATCATCATCATCTTCTTCTGCTGCAAAATTTGGTCATGAGCATGTACCATTCAGTTTAAAAGACAGTTTTGGTTCTAATTATATGAACAGCATTGTAGTCTATTCAAAACCAGTTACTCATTTCTCACATTGAGACATTTTTTAAGCTCCTTGGCTAAAGCTTCGTTTCTTTTGACTCGTAAGTTTTGGGCAAGGAACTGGGTTCTGTAAATGTTGATGATTTATAAGTGATGACCGCAAATTGATTGCTCCCTGCACATCATGATGATTTCTTACATTGTAACTTTTTTTAGTTTATGCCTAGATCATAGTCCATTCTGAATTTTCTGAGATATTGGAATTCTGAATGCAGGCCGAGCAAAAGAAGGAGAGGTTTAAGCGGGTATGTACTTTGTTGTCTCATGACTACTTTCTCAAACTAAGTGAAATAAAATGTTCAATACAAGCGCTGAGAGAGTTAGAGAAATCATATAATTATATTAAGCTGGCTGAATACATGGGTGAATGCATGATAATTTGTATGTATCTGGTGAATTGTGAACTGTCTTTGTGTGTTTATTATAGGGGGTTGTTCTTTATACCCAAGCAAGCAGGGTATTCTACTTGACAATATAATGCTATTTTAAAACAAATTAGAAGATCTATGCAGAAACGAAGTTGCAATAAAGAAATTTAAGAACAAATTATGAGATATTTTTCATGTGAGTTTTAATGTGGAAGTTTTAAGTCGGCTACGCTGTTTATACCGTAAACAATGAAAGACTGGTAGTTTGAATATTTGAAAAATAAATGACCTGATGGGGGATACACTGGAGCAACCATTTTTATGCTTATTGTAGTTACAAATATCTAAATATTTATTGCTCGAGCCTATCCATGTAACATGCAAATTCAAGTGACAACTTTTGGTTTTGCTATTTACTTTTGATTGTTGAACTTATCTTGCTCTTTTATGGTTCTTGTGGCAATTTGGTGTCCAAATTGATAATCATTGTTCAATAATCTTCGAACTGTTAATGCTTTGGAGTATACAATGACAGGCCTTTTCTTTTATTCTGATGGTTTGCTGTCCATTGTGATGTCCCAGTCCAAACGAACCCTAGTTTAACAACTAGTTCACAATGTTGGTGTAGTTCAAAATGTTCACAATGAATGTAGTATGTAACTAAACGTTAAACACTGCATGAAAGGCTTGTTGCTGTTAATATGTTTCTGTGTTATTTGGACTGAATAAATATTAACCATAGTGTTCTTAGGCTCTGCTTGCTGTTTGTAGTGTGTAACTAAACCCTAACGCTGGGTGTTTCCTTTTTATTTGGTGATAACTAGATATGAACAAATGAGGTCTTACAAAGTTTAAGTGCAAACTAAGATAAATATTCTTCTGAAACTATCAGCTTAAAAAAAGCAGTGAAATTTACTACAAATTGTAACATGATTTACCACTCATGTGATCCTTGGCTCTCTGTTTATATTGAGGTCACTGGGTCAAATTCCAAACAATACTAGGAAAGAGGAAAGATAATCCAAGGGGGGGAGAGAAGAGGGTCAGAATAATTACCAGTAATAATGGGATGGGTAGAAATCATTTAGGTGCACAAGATTCAGATTATTTTTTATAAGATGTAACCTGTTGTAGATGAACGGAAATCCGTTCCAAAAGGTTCCATTTCCTCCTTGAACCTTTCTGATGCAAGAGAAACAAGGGAGAGAACTCATACTCTTCCTGTAATAGGCATGACAGCCTCCGTAGATTCAAATTAGAGGGCAGCTAACTTCTCATTATGTTCAAATGTTTTTGGTACTTTTCCATGATGTTATTGTGGTTTTTACCAAAAAAGAAGATTATAATTTGTGTAATTTTGAGTTAATTAGTGTGAGGGAAACCCAGAAGTGCGTGAACATGAACGTTTACAAGGCCATTCAACTAAAAAGTCTTTCAATTAACTGAGTTAATTGCAATTAAAAGATGATATCAACAAAATCTCTGAAGCGTTGAGCATGTTGATTTAGTTGACTTTGGGCCTGTATCTGGAACCTAAGTTGTATGTTACCCTTTCATAAAGTGGTCTGATTGTATTAACACCTATTTATTTATCTGTCACCCTCATACAATTCGAGACAAGATAAACTGTTCATAATCTGGATTTTTTTCCCACGCCAATATGCAATGTGATCCTTGATTTAGATCAAATTCAACCACATAATGACAGTGAACTTGCTCATATCGTTTCTTCCTTATATACATGGTTGAATCTTAAAAGTGCTAGTAAACGATCTAACTCTCTCTCTCTCGCTCTCTCTCTCTCTCCCCACATGCAGCTCATGGAGAACCTCATTCCTATTGTAGAGCAGCGGAGACCACCACGTGTTCTTCGGAGAGTGCATTCAGTGCACTGGTAGATGCAGTACCTACTATGTGGTCTGGAGTCAGTTATATAAAGGAATTGCACGGAGCAAGAAGACGGTCAAAGGTTTAGTAGATAAATACTGAAAAAAGGGGGAAAGGGGAAGAAGGGAAAAACAGTCTGAGGGCTGATTAGCTGTTGGTGGTAATATCTTTAAGTAGTGGAAGTGGATTTGTAAAGAGAAGCATGGTACAGCTGAGGATTTGAATTAATTTGAATACAACTAATGGTGGACGCCCTTCAATCGACGGCTTGTGGGAGATCCTTGACAAACATCTGCCGGCTCTTGTAGTTAATATTGTAGAAAATGAAAATAACCTTCTCATTTACAGAAAGCTTGGTTGCCCTTGATGCTGATTGAAGGGCTGATAGAACTAGACCATGGACTAATATATAACACTAATGTTACTTTACTCCAGTATGGTACATCGTACTAAACTTCCTTTACGATTTTATATGAGAATGATATACGAAAGTTGGTTTTAAATAGATCAATCCCTTGTTTAGGAGAAACACTTGTGTGAAACGGGGATAGCACTGTTTTGCCATCCCCGGCCAACTACCGTATATCACATGTGATAACTTTTCTACCTGGCACCTTGTGATTGGCTCGGGATAGTAAAACAATGCAATTCTTATTTCATACAAGTTTTTCTGTTTATTTTAGGGCTAAAATTGCCCTGGTGTGTTCCTTTTCACCTAAAAAGCTTGTTTGTTTTATTTGAGGGCATGTTTACTTATGAGTAATGAGAGAAGGGCTAGGTATGGGAAGTCGTCATTCCCATTAAGCTGTTTCAGGAACAATGCAAGGGTCCTGAAAGAAGAGACTCCTTGAATAAAGAGTTCCAAGTTTTTGCCTCTGGGTGGCCGAGTTGTCGGATGGTTGGGTGGGGCTCTTGCCTCTGGGTGTTGAGTTTCAAGGTTTTTTTACTTTTTATAATTTTTTATTATACAAATTTATAAATAAACCCAATTCTAGACATGTATTTATAAAAAAACTCAAACACTATTTAAACATAGAAACACCCCTTTTTATTATATATATATATATATATATATATATTTTCCAATCCTCATTTCCAATTAACCACATCTTCATTTCATGAGGAGTTCATCCTCTCCTTTTTCAGCAGCCAATTATTATCCTATTCCTATTGAAAGATTAAACATGAACACAGGGTAACATGTATTTCACATAATAAGGGAATCTGGGGAGTGGCCATTTGACAAACTTGGTTTTGATGGGAGAAAATGTTGAGATACTAGGAATGGGAGGGCCAGAGTTTAAAAAAAATCTCTTGCAGATTAGTGCGGCTGTTTATATGATAGTTTGATGCCAATGAATCTACAATATATTGTACAAATCTCAAACTCCATGTGATCAAGGTTATGGTTAACATCCAAACGTTAACACAATCAAAGAACCTCAGACCATGAATATGATAAACAAAAGCAAAGAACTTCAGAACACATAACAAATCTGAAGAAGGAGCTAAAACACTCCAGAAATGCAACTAGATACGATTGAATTATGTATATATCGGAGAATACTGAGTTAGAGCAAAAATGTAAGTAAATTTGAATAGGACTTTTAAAACATAACATATACAAACCAAACTGTGACATACAGACCGGGGGAAGAAAAAGAGGACGAAATAATTTTACCAAAAGACCCAGAAAAAGAAGTTACAATGTTTGTTCAAGAAATTAAAGAAATACTTTCAAGATGCTTGTTTAACCTCTGTATTGTTGCTGATCACCATCTTACTTCCTCTCTCCTTGCAAACTCGGAAATATGCAAAACAACAATATGTTCGGAAATTTGTACACTGCTCTCGGTAGAAATTTATCTACTTTGAGTTACTCCAGATTGTTTGCCCTACTCAAAATTTCGAGACCCTCAGTTCTGCAATTCATAATCCTACGGAATACTTCCCTGATTTGTCGTTCCAGAGGATCCAGTCCATTCTTAAAATTTTCACAAATCGATGCTAACTCCTGCAGTTCTTGTTCAACTTCCACTTTCTGTTCCTCTGTCAAAGGAAACTGAACCACATCGACCAAGTCTGTCATGTGGCGTGCACATCTCTCAACATGATAAATCTCCCTCAGCAATCCATTAGAGTTCTGGCGCTCTCGCTTCTTTGATTCCTCTATTATCCGTTCGTGTAGTGAGATTAATGGGATACCCCAGGAGTACTGCTGTGGGATTGAAAAATGCGTACTAAGACCTCGATCCTGACAAGGAATTGCAGCCACAAGAGCCGACAAAACAAAAGTGAGCACAGAACTCATTGTGTAAACAGAGCCTGCAAGCCCATTGGTTGCAATAATCTCATTCCCACGAGGTGCTATCAAGTTGTTTGCAATTGATTGGAGCTGCTTAGCTGCAGACCAAGAATTGGATATGCTCCATGAGTGAGAGCGGGAATGCCCAGATGAGTTCCCAGATGAGTGTTGACGACGACGAGCATCCTTTCTTGGGTTATTTCGCCCAAAAGACCAGTTCCGGTGAGAAAACACAGACCCAGAGTCTCTCTCATCAAGCATTTCAAGTGTCAAATCCATCAAAGCTTTTCTTGCTCGACGGAACTGGCCCTCAGAAAATGCCCTCTTTCGAGATTCTAAGGCACACATTACGATATCTAAATGCTTATGCCATGTACGAATCTTCTCAATCCCATCACGAGTGGCATTGCAAATGTCAAGTGCCTTCAAGCTCCTATCTAAGTATTCATCAGCCCAATGGTCCAAGGGAGGTTTAGAAACCTGTGCCCTGTTTTTCAACAAGAGAACCCTGAATTCGTCTAGGCAGCTAACAAAAACATCCAAAAGTTTCCGAATCCACGCAATAGAGAGCAATTCATCAGCACTAACAGCTGACAAGTCATGAAATAGATCTACAACAAGTTTTTGAAATGATTGTAGCTCTAATTCCTGTTCACTGGACTCATGATCAGCTTCAATGGAATGAAACGGTTCTCGCCGACTCCAAATCGAGCGACCAAATGAAGTCAAAGGTGAAGAAGAACCCGGATTGTGCGTAGAAGGCATGGTCACAACCCACAAGATTCCAACAACTAAGGCCTCAGGATATTCCAAAAACTACAGAATTCAAAATAAAAAATCAATAGAAACCCGTCTCTGATTCAGCTAAATTTGATGCATCAAACCATGAACATTGCCAACATTTCGAAGTACACCTACAGTTCATTCAGGGTTTATCAGCTCAAAAGCACAAACTTTCAACACCCCAAACTCACAAATTTTAGCATTCATTCTTAACTACGCAAACCATCAAGCTTTAAACCTCGAAATCACAATTAAAAAAATAATCCACGGAAGAAAACAAAAAGAACCAATCTTTACTGGAACCAAAATTACCAACACGAACAACTGAATGCAAAGAATTTCAAACCCTAAACATAATTGGAGTATATACATCAACCTATACCTTTAAAACGCAATAATACTAAAAACCCAGATCCAGAAATTCTCAGCTGCCATGAAAGAAGCCCAGGAAGCAAAGGATCCAAGGAGAACCCAACAGCCAAAAAAGAAGAAGTAAATGAAAAGAAATGTAGAAGAAAGGAAGTACCTTTTCTTGGAAGGGTATTTCAGCTCAACTCTCAGGAATGTTTTTGTTGAGAATAATGAAGACAGGCAGACATATGCATACTGAGTCAATGACTCGGACAGAAAAATATATATACAAACAGTGGATCTTCAGACTTGGGGCAAAGGACCTCAGCGCTCTCGCTTCGATCGAACCCCAAATCCAGGAGCGAAAGACACGGAGATATATTTTTCTTCATTTAAAGTTAAAACTATCTGCGTAAGCATACATCATGGAAAGTAAAACTCACAAGAAGTGAGAAAAAGTATGGGTAAAGATATTGTTACTTACTAAATGACCCCTAACTTCTAATTTATTATTGACTTAACTTAATACTATAAACATATAAGGACAAATAGGAGGTCACCAAGACAAAATGGTCCAATCTCTTAAAAATTAGACAAATCAGTCCAGTTACCGTTGAACAGTGACATAAAATTGATCAACTCTCGGGTCATTGTTAGACACTGACTGAAGAGTTATTTTATGTCATTGTCAGACAGTACCTAGATCGGTTTGTCCAATTTTGGAGAGGCTGAACCATTTAAACATTTTGTCTTATGCGAATGACCTTTTTTTTTATCATTCTCTGAATACTAAAAACATGTTCTAAAAAAAATACTAAAAACATAAAATAGACATTTTATATTGTTTGTTTAATACAACATTTTATATTGTATTTTCTAAAATACAAGTGGTAGTCTAAACTATAAGAAGAATGGGGTCTCATATACACTACTAAGTAGTCAGGGGGTTTCGAACCTGATACTACTAGTTTGTAAGCTAAAGCCTTTTTCTACTGGACTAGATCACGTTGATGCCGTTTTGTATTGTTTATACAGCTTACCAACATGATTCTCTTATGTAAATTATTATTTGCACTCTAAAGTAGTCATATTATGCTTTAAAACAATAAAAAATTAGTGCGAGATGAATATTTTGGGGTCTTAATAACACCTCTTTTGTCGCAGTATATTTAACAAAGTTTTAACGAAATTGTTAGAACGTACCCACTTTTCCCATCGTTTTTACACCTCTAGCCAGCGGTCTAATCTTCGGAGTGACCCAACCACAGACAGATACATGTAAACACGGCAGGGAAATTGTAGTGGCAATGGAGATCAACTTGACTATTCATTCTTAGGCCTGAGGTTCAATGTGCAGTTCTCCCTTCCTAACATCCCTTGTTTCAAAATAACAAAATTGTAGTTACACGATACATTTGAGCTTCAAATTAAAAGGTTAAGCTGTAGTCTAGACTGAAGCATTCAGATACATGCAAACGTGGGCAATGCATTCGCTTGTGCGCCCATTTGTCCAATTTGATTGAACGTAGCCAAATGTGGGAAATAATACCATCCATTACTATTCAGTTTTTACACCGTTTAATACACGGTTATTGAAAAATATTCAAAAGCATGAACGGAACCAACACTCTAATGAACCAACTCTAAATGGGTTAGGCCGCTCTAAATGAGTCGGGCCAATTTGACCCACTCATTTGACACCTCTAGCCAGAGGTCTAACCTTAGCGCATGTCCAATCATCAATTGATATGTCTAAAGATGGTAGGGAAATTGTAGTGGCAATAAATGATCAGCTTGAGTGTTACTTTTAGGCTTGAGGTTCAAAGTGCAGATCTCCCTCCCCCCAACATTGCTTGTAACAAAATAACGAAATTGTAGATACACAATTCATTTGAACTTCAAATTGCAAGGTATTTATAGTAAGCCAAAGTTTAGACTGAAGCATTCAGATACATGGATGGTCAGAAATACTTGGTTATTGAATTTTGGATGCTTATTTTGAAGGACTGAAGGACACTAGTTTGTTGGTTGCCATTGGGCCTATATATTACAGTTGTGTGAGGACAACTAAGAAACTATTGTACGTAGGAGCTTTATCTTTTTTCCTTTTTACTGAATGCAAGTGATAGTCTCAATTATAAGGGGAAAGAGGCTTCTTCACACATACTACCAAGGTGTCATGTAGGTTCAAACTTGAGACCACTAGTTTGCAAGTCAAGGCTATGCTTTATCTTTGTTACATCTATTTTTGTGCTTTTACATACGGTTACGTCTTGAAAGCCACTTAAAAGATGGTACCATTTAACATGATTTACAGCACTTCTATCCATTTGTCATGGCAAATAACATGGGTGTGTACTAGTCACGTGAATAGTGCATGCCCTTGTTTTTTTTCCCCCCACCCATTGTCATGGCAATTTCTATTCACATGAGATTATAAAAATATGATATGAGGAGAGGAATTTGTATGAAGTTTTGGTGTGGAAAGTAAAGAACATTGATAGGTATTTATAAATTAAAAAATTGAATTCTTTAGAAAATTTTCAGAATTTTTTACAATTTTTTTCTTCACTGACTTCATCACCGTCAGGCAGCAGCACGAGGTGGTCTCGCCTTTGGACTCGCTCGGTTTTGATAGAGACCACTCTTGCCCGGGCTATATTTGCTTGGTGTGGGAGGTTTTTTCAGCCCAGGCCCCTTTTGCCATGGTAAGGCAAATGAGCGATATATCAAACAAACAGATGGTGACATTTCCACACATACATGCTTATGTTCATGATGACGGGCACTCTTCTAAGATATGTATCAAAACAACATAAAATCTCTTTACATGTGTAACAACACAACTGACATCACAATTCTCATGTAAAAGTTATACTGAAACAGGACATGAGAGACAGCATGCATTGTTGCACATCAGAAAACCTACTATGAGTTCCGCTGATCACTGCAAAGTTCGAAAACAATGAATTCAATTTGGCATGTATGATGGATCTAAATACAATACAAGTAAATAAAAATTCGTCATTTAGTCCATTCAGTTATAGATAGGTTACAAGGAGGCTGTTCGTTTCAGCATAAATGCCAACACGTTGATCACAACTATACTAATAAGAGTACAACAGTAAAGATCTTTTACGTGGTCCCGAAAGATTGATATCTCATTGCTTGCTTTGCTTTTACATACAGCCAGTAACCCAGTAACATAATCTTCTCTTCCCCTCTGTCCTGAGATAGCAAGGTTGGCACTACAAAATACGTTTATCCTCTCCACGCGACGGATACATTTATCCTCTCCACCTGCAAGTATTCTACAGAACCCGCAGAAAAAACATATTATATTGTGTCACTAGATTAATGCGGGGCAAACTTTTATCACTGCAAGACTCTGTCAAACAAACCATAGATGTTTTCTCCAAAGAGATTGGCAAAAAAAGTTCATAAAAGGAGGTAATACCAAGCATTAGCCACCAATATGTATCATAGGCCTATTTGCTGTCTTTGCAATGTCAAACATTCCAGCGTGTGAAGCTTTCTTCTTCTTCACCTAAAGCAAACATAAAAAAGTCTTCAAAATATATGCAAGGAAAATTTGAAAGCTGAATTTGCATGAGAATATGAACTTAATCAAATAAAAAACAGTTCCATGACTGAAGTATAGAGCATTACTAAAACAATTGTCATGCACATACCGCTGACCCGATTATTTCCCTGAGTTCATGATCATTAGCACCTTGACGAAGGGGATCTCTTAAGCTCACCTGCAAAATAAACATTGAATATGAATAACAGGAAAGCATTATCTAAAAATTTATATTGCACATCTAAAGCAAAAGGCTTCCAGGAAAGCTCATTCGATACTGAAGGAGTTGGTCTAGTTAAGGCAAGCCTACCACATAGAAGCTTGTTGCATTAGCTTCATCACATTACTACATTACATTGTTGGTAAAAGTCCAAGGGACACGTATATGATCGGCCCCACAGAGAACTACGAATCGCCTCTAAATTCTTTGGCATATTTGAGTTCAAGCAATTGAACTGCAAAATAAAAGTTCCCCACTTTCGTTTACAAGCACACACATGAATAAGTGGCCAACTAGATGTAAGCATATGGGCAGCAAATGGGCAGGTTAAGGCAGGTCATAAATGGGATTCGTGTTGTTAGCTAAATTCTGTACTACGTGTTGTTTCAAATACCAAATCAATGAGGCAAACTACATAATATAATATGTAGGGCTTGGGAAACCACGAGGAAGAAGCTTGAAATGTCCCATATAATGCTCATGCATAACCTAAAGCTAATATAAATAGACCACCAAAAAAAAAATTTGACAAAATGACTTTGCCCTCTCTTAAATCTCTCTCCATTTAATTACTTTTTGCACGCTTATCCAATTACATCACCCCTTCTTCTTCTTCTTCTTCTTCTACTACTACTACTACTTTTCCTGCCCTTCTAACAAATCTAAATTATCTAAATTATCAGCATTATCAACAACAGAAAGAAGGAAGTAGAACTATGAAAAATAATGATGAAGTAAACGTATACTACAAGTTAAATTATAGTTGGCGAAAAAAAAGGAATTTGGTTGAGAAGATCGAACTCATCACTAACTTGGGAATTGTTCATTTTTTCAATTTTAGCTTAGAATTTTCAATTCTGATTTTAAAGTTACTCAATCCATGCTCATGAATAGGAGTTTGGTATATTAGTCTATATGACAATACCTTTTCTAAGGTCACCTTTTGTCGATTCTGTTGGGTTCTTCAATATTGTCTTGGCTGCAAATTGAACACTGTGTATATATATTAATGAATCGAAGGTTTGTTTACTGGTTATAACTTAATCATGTGTTTCATTTTATTCTTGTTTCTCGAAAGGTCCCACTTGCTGCCATGGCTTCTAAGCTAGTCAACCAGAGTAATATCATAAGTAAACTTGTCCTCAAAAGTCATTTTCTCAGGCTAGCTGTTTAAATGTAGCAGGGCTTTCCTTTTATCATTTCTGGAAAATAAAGGCAAGAAGAAGGGGATGGTGTTAAAGGATAAGTGTGCAAAACATAATTAAATGAAACAAAAGTCAATTAAAACTTATTCTCAATAAATACTTATATAAAGAATAAAATAATTAGTTTGTCTAATCTTAGCCATTCATTGTACTTTAATCTAATGGCTGAAAATTTGTGTCAAAACTTGTGTAAAAAATATGATGCCATGGATCCACCCCCTATTATATTATACATATACAGAAATTTCTACTACCCCTCCCTGCTTCCTCCTTGTTTACAATGGCATACGCACGATAATAACATGCGGACATCCAGATGAGAATGTGTATGTATACATATATGCATATATATGTATATATTCTGTTTGTATTGTGCATGTAGAGATATATTAGTGCTTACAGTTGGTAGTCCACTAGAAATAAAGGCCAACTGTGCCCATTGCAATCTCTATAAGTACGCATGTCCGCAACTTTTTACGTGACTCTTGTTATCTTCTAGGCTTTCATAAAGCAACATGTACAGTTGTTGACCCAAATTATAAAAATTTAAAATTTTTAAAAAAAAGATATAGCTAAAAGGATTCAATATTAATGCAGGGGATCATTGTCATAAAATTTGTACATTCAAGGCTTAGCCCTGACATCTGCAACATTGGTTCTGCCATAGCCCAACTCATCCCAGCCATAAATTTCGTGTCCCATTGATTATCTAGCATGATCCCAAGGCCCAACTCACCCCAGCCATAAATTTCGTGTCCCATTGATTATCTAGCATGATTATTTTATTATTTATCATGTTTTTCTTTTATTAGGTAAGTCATAGTAGGATTAGTTTTCTCAAGGAATAGGAATGCTTGGGTGCTGTATTATAGTATAAATAGGCTATTAAGAGACTCTTGTATTTGGTTTTATGATTATAAATCCAGAATTCAGTCTATAGAGTTTCTTTTGGGATCTTTGCCCTAGAACTCATTATCTTCGTTCCAACTTCTATTTTATTGCTTTATCCATCTATTCTCTGTGTTGTTTATTGCTGGGATTCTGTTTCTACTGTGTTTTGGGACAGTTTTATTCGCCGTTCCTTTTTAATTTTTTGGTCTGGTCCTGCATCACTGGTGCTCTATCCAAACTTAGCCCTTCACTTGCAGAAATATAGACATCCAATTGTAAAAAAAAATTTGGATGATTTAAGCAAAGATAAGGTATGCATAGATCCTCATAAAGTATGCCTATAGCCCATGGCAGCTAAGCATTATTGGAAATGATGACGCAAGTTTATAAATTCCGGCAATGAGTCAAAGCTCAAAGGCAGATGACTCACCTCAGAGGGACCAAATAAGCAGACTTTGAAGTTTCCATCAGCTAAGAGTCGCAATCTATTGCATCCAGCACAAAAATGCTCAGTCATTGATGTGATAAAAGAAACTGCACCAGCATGCTCATCTACCCTGAAATTCTTGGCTGTATCTGTTGGGTGATCCTGAAGTCTCTTTAGATCTGGAAACCGTTTTACCTGTTCAAGAAAAATAAGTGACTTAAGGCATGTATTAAGGGGCACTCAGAAATCAATTAGTAGGATTACCGGTGAGAGTTCTACCTTACCACTCTATCCAACATTTCCGAGTAGGGTACCAGTTTTTTAACATTCCAAACATTTCCATCAAAAGGCATGAATTCAATAAATCGAATATTAATCGGTTTATCACGTGTCAGCTCTACAAAATCACAAATCTCATCATCATTGAATCCACGCATCACCACACAATTTACCTGAATAGAAGCATAGAAAACATATAAATGTACAGAATATGAATGGTACTTGTGCATGAGAATGTGTTAGTGTATGCATGCATATGTTCATATGGGTACATCATACCCTCCAATTAACAAGAACCTTAAATAATAGGTAATAGCAATCCTAAACCTATAAATAAAAAGTAGGGAACATAATAAATTGCGTAAACAAATAATCAATAAGAAAAATTCAAAGAAAAGAGTATATGAGTGTAAATTGAGAGGAAGAACATACCTTAACAGGATTATATCCAAGGTCTATGGCAGCATTAATTGATTCCATAACCTTTTGATGCCCTTTACGCCTGGTCATAAATTCAAACTTTGCAGGGACCAACGTGTCTAAACTAATATTCACAGAAGTAAGCCCACATTCTTTCAGCTTGGGAAGTTTTCTTGCAAGAGTAATTCCATTGGTGGTTATGGCCAGTGTTTTTAATCCATTCAAGTTAGACAAGTGTAAGCATATGTCTTCGATATCTTTCCTTATGGTTGGCTCCCCTCCAGTCAAACGAATTTTATCCACTCCTGAGCTTACAAACAGATTTGCCAAGCGAACAATCTCATTCTGTGAAAGAATTTTAGGGCTGGGAGTGAGGTCCACACCCTCTGCTGGCATACAGTATTGACATCGCAGATTGCAACGTTCGGTCAGGGAGATCCTCAAGTAAGTGTGGAGCCTTCCAAATGAATCAAGCAACATATCAGAAACAGGGTTGTCTTTTGGAAGATCTTCTGGTACCTTAGCACAAGAAGTCGAGCACATCCTTGGTGCGGATGCATTCATTTGATGACTAAGTAAACCCTTAGAATCACTGTTTCTGGAGGTGGAACAAGACCCAGTTTCGAAGTCCACCTATTAGAAGTAAAAGCAGTACCAATCAAATATATTTCACTGCGACGGTGGATATACTAACTCACCCCATGATTGAACAGAATAGACATGATCAACTTGAAAGTTTGAAACTAATATGTGGTTCGAAACAAAGACTAGTATTTACAGAAGTAAAGTTCTATAAAAGGGTCAACTTCATTTCATATATGAAAGTTTAGGATTTGATTCATGAAACTTTGCAGTATCATTTACAATTTGACAATAGCAAGTAGAACATCCAAGCTGCAAGGAAATATAGAACACAATTTTCAAAACAAAAAAAAAAAACAATATTTATTGGAATCAGATCGTTGAGTTGGAGAATAATTTTTCCTTTGTTGTTTCATCAATTGACCCGGAAATACATTAATAAGCAAATAAAGTTGCAAAAGAAAAAGATAGCATTTTCACAGTATTTTGGGCTAAAATGTCACAGAAATCCAAACAGACGAAGGGGTTGTGGGCTGCCTCGTTATCAAATTAATCAAACACCCAACAGATTCATTATCCGAAATAATACAAGAGAGAGAGAGAGATACCAGGAAGCAATTGAAATCTGCAAAGCCCATACGCGAGCGGGCGAACTTGAATACATGACGCTTCATCATATTTGTGTTTGAAGCGACGGAAACATAAGACGATTTGAAAGCAGAAGGCAGTTTTATATGTAATATGAGTGAGTTTTGCTTTGCCTTTTTTTCTCTTCAAGCGTCGAAAGGCCGCTTTGGCTGGCGCGCTGGCAGTAGCGGAATGCCTTTGCCATCTGTGATTTTTTGCTTCCACGTGTTTTATCCGATATTTTTTTTTTTTGTTGGACTTGGAAGAGATATTTTATTAAAAAATAGTACGCGCCATAAAAGTATACAAAGATATGACTGAAATAGTTAACTACTATCCAAAACCCAAGTATGAGAGACTGGAACATATGTGTGATCTTAAAAAAACTAGCACTTGAACAACTCAAGGGAAAACAATAACTCAAAAAAATAGGAAAAAAGAAAAAAAGAAGAGGAGCCTGAGGATCCCTTCGATCTACACAACAACCAAAGGCGGACCTAAGGCTAGGCTAGAGTAGGCTCCAGCCTAGGGGAACATTTATGAAATATTAAACATGATCTTAATTATTATTATAGGTTTATTCCTACTCAAATAAATATTAGCCCATTGCACCAAAAAAATTTAGCCCACACATGCATTGTTTTTCTTCTTTTAATAAATTAATAATAGCCTAATCTAAGTAAAGTAAATAATAACTCAGTCTTCTATTTAAAATAAACCCACTCTTGAAGCATATAGGAAATAATAAACGTCAATCCAATCCAACTTATATAAATTTGATTAGAAGCAGAACTCACGCTGAGGCTCTATCAACTTGAGCTATTCTAATCGTACTGATATTGGGCTACGGCCACATAGAGCAAACATCAAAAAATTTCTTCTAGCCACCCAAAACGCCATATTTGAACCTAGAGGAAATAGTTCTCCTCCTCTAAAAAATTGTACCAACCTATCTTGAGTGGGTTCTTCAATCTTGGTAAGTTTTTTTTTTTTTATATTTAAAATATATATATTCAATTTCCAATTTTAATTGTTGTTGTTAAGTTTTTATGATTTAGGGTTTGAGTGAAAACTTTTGGAGATTGTTGATATATGTTTTATTTTTGCAAGTTGAATTATTAATTAGCATATATGATTTTTAATGTCTTGTATTTTTGGGGAATCAACTTATTGTATCTTGTTGATAAAGCAAAAGATGCATCTAATAGAGAGCAAATGACCGTTGTTTTAAGATTTGTTGATAAGGATAGTTTTGTACGATAACGTTTTTTTGAGATTGTTTGGTATTTATTTATATTTTGTACTTCTTTGTGTTATATTTGCTCGTATTGTGACTTTATTTGATTTATAAAATTTTATTTACCCTTTTGGTTTCAAGAGAAAAACGGCTTATAATATAGCTTCTCTATAAAAAATTTAAAAAAAATTAGCCTACCCCTATAAAAATTCATGGATCTGCTATTGACAACAACAAAACCTTGGGAGCACTAGAAACTTGCAGCCTACAATAAAACACAAAATCAAAATAACAAGAAAAAGTAAAATAACTTATAAAACTGAAACTAAAAAGTAAAATAACAAATAAACTAAAAAACACAATTGAACACTAAGAAATTAGAAAGAAAAACAAACAATAAGAAAAGAAAACTAGCTAGGGCTAACGATCCCGACACAATACAAAGCCCAATCAAAAAGCTAAAAAAATTGGAACAAAACAAAAGAAAGGAGAAGATAGCAGCAAATACAAACCAGGAGAACTTACCTAGCAACCTGCAAAAGTCTACGTGAGACAAACCATAGCAACACAACTACGCAAATACGGGAAAAGAAACTCAGAAAACAACACAACAACTAGACAACCCCAAACCAAACTGAAAGCAAAACAACAAGAAGATCATAAAAAGGACGCCATGCTTCATCTAGGAAGCAGCCCTCCATCCTCCAGCACTCCTCAGTGTCTAAAGTTGTTGACGCAGAAAAATGGTTTGGTACTTTCCCGCGTAACTTAGTGATTAGGTCTCTTCGGTATCAAATGTCCTCGGTAGCGTGTGCGATGTGTAAGAAAGCAAACGCACGGTAATCCTAGGGCACCGGTGTGGTACCGGCCGAAGGCTCTCCGATGCTTAAGTAAGTACGGATTTAATAAGTTTGAACTTCAGATCAATAGGCAGTATGCCGTAAGTCCTGATTGATTACCTTCAAGCTGGGATGGGTGTCCTCTTTTATAGGCCTTGGGAGGTGTGCAATTTGTTGAGAGTTTCGATGTGGGACTCTGGGCGTCAATTGTGAGACTGCCACGCGTCCGGCGGGGCGGGGTTGCCCTAATGTTGCGATCGGTAGGCTTGGTACCGAAGGTGAGTGCCGAAGGTGAGTGCCGAAGGCACTCGTAGCCCTGGTTTGTTCTACGTGTTTGGTATTCATTGGTTGTTCATTTTGGTATAAACAAAAGTAATACTTGAATCTGAGACCTAAAATAACATAAGTAAATATAAATGCAAAAAACAAAAATACTTGGAGGTAACTCGATGTATGGGGAAGGGGCCAGACATTGTCCCATCCGGCATCATTAGTTCAGAGGCTGACGCTGGCGACGTCAGAAGGTCGCTTCGAGTTGAAGGGGGAAGGGACCCCGGGCCGCTTCAGCTTGCGAC